TTTCAGGAGACTCAATAGCGGGAGTGGGAGACAGAAAATTAAAAAAAAAAAAAGTCTTGCAAATCCTATATGCAACTCTCTCTCACACTGGCTTTAGGAAACGAATGAAATGGCTCCCCAATGTATTACTGGTTCTAGAATGTGATCGTTGTGGTTTTTTTTTTTTTAAATACCCTACTTCGATTGTAGTCCTGGACTCCGGGATTCGTTTTACTAAATTCTGAATGAAACACGCCAAAGAATCAAATTGTTCTGAAAAATAATATGCAAAAGATCGGTAGCTATGTGCAAAGATCAGCCATTACGAGAACAATGGTAAAAATAAAATAATAACCGCTCTTGGCCACCACCCCGCCGGAGACAGTGGATTCGTAGATCATTCCTTCTGTCCTCGTAAGAGGGAGATAAACAAAACCCGCCAGTTCTCAATAACCAACGTCCGAACATTGCAAACAAGTATGTTTGGCGCCCAACGCTGCCCCTTGGCGCCTACGCGCTCTGATTGGTGGAAACGGAGACAAATCTTAGGAGAGAATCAAATAGCAACAGACCGCGGCCACGTGACAGCGCGCGCTCCGATTAGTCCAGGGCTCCCTTCCAATCAACGCTGAGATGTTGGATTCAAATTGGGTCGGGTGCCGAGTTACCTTCACGGCAGTCGGTTAGTGACGAGCTCTGGGGCCGGAGGGGGATTTCGCCGGGAGCAGAAGCGTTGTGGTCGCTGCCGCCGCCGTTCCTTTCATAATGGCTCATAAGCAGATCTATTATTCGGATAAATACTTCGACGAGAACTACGAATACCGGTACGGGACCGGGGAGGCTCGTGTTACTTCATTTGTGCCGAGGGAGACGGGAGGGAAATGGGTGAAGTCGGCTTTCCATCAATTTGCCTTTGCCTCAGTACACAGAAACGAAACGGCGAGCAGTTGGCCACCTCAGACTTTGTAACAAAAGAGAAAGTTGGGGGGCTTCGGGGGTTATTTAGGAAACATCGGGGAAAGGTGGCATCAATGCCCCAAATCATCTTTCTCTGCCCATTTATAGAAGCCGCCAGCAAAAGAGCTGAGACACTGCTAAAGTACAGTAACCTGCTGCTGCTGCAGTACGTTTTTATAGACTTGACCTCCGAGGGAGTAACTTTTCTCCCTTTCCACCTGAATTCTTTATCCTGACCTAAACTCTGGAAAAAAATAAAGAATGGCTGATCCAGGGTTAACCCTCAGGGAACTTAATGACTGAGTGGGCGTTGGCTGCACTAATGGTTCTTTCTTGTGCATCTTCTAGATTTGGAAAAGTAGCTTGATTGTGCAGGGTGTGAATATTGAAGACTTGTCTGTGGAATTGGATATTTAACATAATATTAGATACTACTTTGAAAGTATCTGAATGTTGCCATTACTGATTATATAGCTTTAGCTAAAGAAGGATTCTAAAGAATGTCAATCACTTCCTGAAAGCAATGAATTTTTATAGGAAACTTTATTTTACTCATGACTGGGTTCATGCATATTGAGTTAACCATTTTGTGTGAATGTGATGTATACATTTTAATTGTGATAGGCATGTGATGCTGCCAAGGGAGCTCTCAAAGCAAGTACCAAAAACACATTTAATGACTGAAGAAGAATGGAGAAGGCTTGGTGTTCAGCAAAGTCTTGGCTGGGTCCATTATATGATTCATGAACCAGGTAAAATAAATGCAGATGTTACATTTTTAGAAAACATTTTCCCCAAAGACTTCTTGTTGCACTGATGTGAATGAGGGGTGTTTGTATAAACTACTGAAATGTTTATGCATTTCATTTGTGATCATACAGGAATTGAAGGGGAAAATACAAATGTATAGAGAGTCCTATGTCAATTGAGTTAAAATGTATAGTTCTTTGGAGAAATAAATTTAATTGTAATGTATTATATTGTGGTACAGAATATTTTCAATACATTTTGTTTCATTATGCTTACCCTCATGTCTTTTAATCAATATTTTACAGTGAAATGTTGTGATATGACTTTACAATTTGTTTCAAACATGTTGGAGTAGAACCTTATGTTACATATTTGAAAGGGGATTTTCTTTCCCAAGTCAGTTACAATGGCAGTAATAAAGGGATGGGTTTAATCAGCATGATTGGCAAGTGTAAGCTTTCACAACAGTCATAAACAAATTTCTGTTTTTCTCTTGCAGAACCACATATCCTTCTTTTTAGAAGACCACTTCCAAAAGGCCAACAAAAATAACTTCTCTAAATTTCTGAAATTTTATGTACAAATGTATATATGTTGGTAGTATTCAGTGAATACTTGAGAAAAATGTACAAATAAGTCATTACCTGTGCATGAGCTGTATTATTCACAGCAACAGAGCTCAGTAAAATGCAAAGTTAAGTTGGCTGCTATGATCTTGAACTCTCATTGTTAACAAGTGCCTATTTGCTCTTGTCAATTTTGTTCAATAAAGTTTACAACTTACATGTGTTGATCATAAACTCTTCAATGATCTTTGGTTTATATTAGCAATGTATCTTTCTATAACTGTTAGAGCAATTCATCCTGTGGCTTTTCAATTCCTAAAATAGGTCTGATGAAATAAACCTGTTTTTAAAATTAAATCTTGGTATGTATTTCATGGATTTTAATTTTTCAATCTAATTTTCTATACAGTATAAGAATAGCTGTCCAAAATTTTTAATAACAGGTGACCTATTTATATCTCCGATCCAGCCTATAGATCTGAGATTTCCTAATAGATCAGCTAATCATAAATACCACCTGCTGTGAAACTTAAGAAAATTATCCATCTCAAAAAATAAGACTCATGGGCAAAACCAGTTGACAAATTCATACTGATTTGTGGTAATTTGCTTCCAAAGTGCTTATGGATCAATTGCTCTGTTATCTCTAGAACCTTCCCCAATAGTGATTTTAGAATGATGAGTCTTACTGTTCTGGAAATGTCTTCCCTTTTTGAGAATTGGGGGTGTCTGTCCAGTAATCTGGAATTTCTCAAGAACAAATATTTGGCCAGACTACAGCAAATTCCTTAAAAATTCTCTAGGATGCAATTCATCTGACCATGGAGATTTAAACTTAAATGTACATTCCATCACCTTGTTTATCAATCTCATACTTCAACAGGTTGGAAGATTGAGCTGAAACGAACAAGATATCCTTTAATACAGCTGTTAAGGTATTACATTTAGGAATGGGAAAAATGTGGGACCTATATATAACATGGAGAATTGTTTGGAAACACTACATTTGAGCAGGACTTGGGTGTGGTCATTGACGAGCATGAGTCAGCAGTATGATACACCTATTACTAGAGCTAACAGGCCTGGCTTGCATTATAAGAATTGTGTCAAGGGTGCATGAAGTCATTCCATTTAGTACTTGTGCAATCATCTGGAATTTCATGTATGATTTAGAGGTCTACATTTCCTGAATGATATTAACAGGTTATTGTACAGCAGGTATGTCCAGCCCACAGGTTGCATGTGGTCCTGGATAGCTACAAGTTCATAAAGTTTTAACATGATTTTAGTGATATTTATATAAACTATATTACAAATTTTATATGCAGCCTGAGACAAGCCAAAAGGTTAGCAACCCATGCTGTAAAGGATTCAGAGGAGGTAATGAAAATTGTATTGAGACAACATGCTTTATGAAAATGAAAATAGGCTAAAGGAATTTGAGTTGTATGGGGAGAACAAAGGGAGGCATGGCAGCTATGTTTAGAACAAAAAAAAAAAGTCAGAAGATGGTCAAAAACTTCCATGGCCACAGAAAATGACCAGAAATAAGTATAAGTTGCAGTTACCTATATATTGTTTAAATAACTTTTCTAATAGAGCTATACAATAGTGGAACAGGCTCCTTTTGGAGATTGTGAATTCTCTACCCAGAGCACAAGTGTCAAACTCGCCATTGTCACGTGATGTGTCTTGATGTATCATGACCTTTTTTGCATTGCCGGAGCTGGGGCCTTCATATGATGCAACCGGCACAGGCTGGTAGTTTGACACCCCTGATGTAAAGATTTTTAATAACTGGATGGCCTTTTCTCATGGATGTTTTAGTTTTTCTGCATGTCACACAGGGTTGGGCTTAGATGATCCTTATGGTCCCTTCCAACTTTGCAATTCCATGATACAGTCCTACTAAATCTTCAGAAATTATTGATAGAACATCCTTTTCTAAGACTGAAATTAAAAAAAACACCTGGTGAGTACTGTCACTTTTTCTGTGCTAAGTGTTGTTTCCCCCCAGCATTTGGCATATTGATTCCCTTTTCTAAACTAATCCTAACCCTTAACCTTTATTATGTGATGTGACTATTGACAGTATGATGTCAATACAGTATGATGTTCATTATGGAGCCTCAGGCTCAAATCCTCATTTATAATTCATTCAACATGACTTCACACAGAATATTGAAGAGAATGAATGAGACTGCATGGAACCTGTATGCCACTCTAAGCCCTCCAAATAAAACTTGAAATATACACTTAAAATATGTACAGTGCATTTCATGAGGCAAACAGGTCCCCAAAATGTCTTTTGTTTAGAAAATTCAAACAAGTATAGGTGAGATCTTACTGATACATAATAGTATAGGCTTGCTAAATATCAAGTGCCACATGAAAGTAGCTTCCTAAGGTAATTCAGATGTATAGGGTTTTATGTGACTTAATTTTGAAAAAAAAAGTCTATTGAAATAAACTTCCAGAAAAATAGGACAATGACGTTGTATGTAGTTTCAGAAGCCAAGGTGTTTGTCACCCTATCGGAGATTGCGTACCAAAAACAACTCTCACGATGGCTTGCTCTGCCGGCCCCCCTTTGCAGCTGGTTGCGGATCGGCTTCCGCGCGAGCCGGATCGATTTTTCTCGGGAGAACGTTCGGTCACTTCCGCCTACAAGCTTCTCTTTGCCTCTGGCGTCATGACGACCTTCATATGATGACTATGCCGCTGCTGATTGGCCACGAGCCCGAGAGACTCTGGCGTCGCCTCTTCGACGGCTTTTGTGCGCGCCAGCTGGGTTTGTGGTGGAGGGTAGGGTGGAAAGTCGCCGTTAGCGAGGCATTGACCTTTGCTTGCCCCTTTCTTTTTTTCCCCCCGCCATGACTTCACAACGGGGAGCGGGCAATGAGGTAAGCGGGGAAACGGCGGTCAGGCTGGGTTTGCGGAGAACTAAAAATAAAGACCGGCTTTTGTTTTAAGCCCTCCTGGCCGTTGTTATGTAACCGGCAGCAAGAACTCCCCCCCCCCCCGTGATCCCGGTAAAGCCAAAGAAAAGGAAGTCTCTGTCTGAGGTTTCTTCTTAACGTAAATCACGTCGCTTCTACCCTTCCTAATGGGAGCCTCGAAGTGAAGGGGTAGATGACGATCCTTTTCAGTTCTGGTGGGGATTCCTTCCTTTTTCTGCGGAAGGAAAAGAGGGACCGGACAGCAAATGAAAGTGAAGTTCCGGTGGGCGCAGCTAGAGGCCCTTAGGAAAAGACGCACTTTGTGTTTTCATAACCCGCTAAATCATAGTTCACGAACTACAGCGGAAAGCCCGAAGCCAAACAAAATGCGTTACTTTAAGCCATAATGGGGCATTTCGTTTTGGATTCGTTCTTTGAATAAAACCGGCGTGTTTGTTAACCATGGCTTACTGTTAAAATATTCTGTGAACGTAAACATTATCATTACAGGAAATGAATGAATTCCATTCCACTTCCAAGAGAGCTAAAGTTAAAATCTTGCCTGTTTTTTTCAAATGTGTAATGGCCTTACACTTATTTTCTGTTCTCTAAAGCAGTGAGAGGGTTGCCATTTCTCTCTCCATTTGTTTTTTAAGGAAGGTCACATGTTAATGGCAAAACTTACCGCAAAAAGCTGAAGTTCAGTAGCCAGTGGTTTTTCCAATAAAAAGATCCTATTTATTTTATTCAGTTAATATATTATCTGATTTTCAAGAAATGTCTCAGATAACATAAGGTACTTTACAATATAAAACAGTATTGTAATTCTGTTTGTAAATGTAAATGATTTCAAATAAAGCTGAATTAAAATAAGCATAAAAGCTTCCTGACATTGAGCTCAACTCTCGGGAATTAGGTAATGTGCAAGCATATCATTTTCTTGATAATAATATAGAAATGGTTTGCCATTGTCTTCTTCCAGAATTTTGACTAGGTTCTGCCCTCTGCTGCTGGTTAAAAGAAGTCTAATTGAAAATGTTGGCACATCTGTTTAAAGGGGCAGGGAGAGAGAAGGATAGCAGTTAGTTTAGGAAGTATTGCCTGAAATTGGATTTTTCTGATTACTATTTAATCTATATTAAATATCTTATTTAGCAGGTACTTCTTTTAATGATTGCAGATATAAGGGGGGGGATTCTGACCAATGCATGCACTTATCATTTGTGTGTCTGACAATAATGAACACTGGAGTAACTTATTGGCAAAACTGCACAAGAAGACTTTATCAGAAACAGATGGCAGCAACTAGTGGTCTTTGCAGCCTCTCTCTTAGTCATTTCTCTTCTGGTTTAAAGAGTGAATTGCAACTGCTAAATAAGGAAAGGGTACATTGAATTTTAGAAGGTGGCATCTAGATAAATATAATTGGTATCAAAAGTTATACTTCTGAACATTGATTGGTCATGGACCACAATAAACAATAGGCTTTTTAGCAATCACAAGGATGTTTCTTTGGAACCTGATTTTTCTTTGCAGAGATACCATAATTCATACTGGGAATAATATTTCAGAAATCTCATTCATATATGTTTTAAAGCTTTGTGAATGAAACTATTACTTGGGTAGATAGTATATAATATGTGGTAGAGAAGTCGCTAATTTGTTTGTTTGTTTGTTTGATGTAGAGGCCAACTAACTCCAAAGTAACTCTAAATAGCTTACGCTATCAATTGGAAACAATAAAATGGAAATCCCATATGTCCAGACAGTCTCCATCATATTGTACAGAAAACATACAACCTAGGGCTCCACAGTCTACTCCATGGCTGGGAGAATAGTTACCTTTAAAACATTCAGTCCAGAACATCATAAAAATAGCAACTACAGAAATTTCTGGAGAATATCATTCCAGAGGACAGGTGCTCCTGATAGATTGAATTGTGTAACAACTGGTTCCAAAGCACACCAAAAGTTGAACTTTCTCTTGCTTTTCCATTCTCGGGTCATATTTCTGGCCAGAAATACTTCTATTTACTTAAAATATTTCTTAAGTAAAAAAAATCTAACATGCCAATATATGATTTGAAATATATGCTAGATGGTTTATTGTGGCATGGGCTTTTACAAGTATTGGTGCACTTCGTCAGGCTGTTTGACTTTTGCTTGTCAATTTCAGGCTTAAGCCTATTATCCTTTTAGATGCCAGATTTTTTTTTCCTTCAGCATTATGTTCTTCATAGAATGAGTTGGAGCAGAAGGGAAGAAGAATTTTACAATATTATTTCTAAGTAGTGGGATTTCCAAGTATAGGTTCCTATTGTATGGCTCACTTAAAAGCTTAAAAAAATTCTCTGATCTGCATAAGGTTAACCTAGGTTAGCCCTAGTATGTCTTTTTTAAAAAAATATGAAATACTGTTTTTTCACATTTAAAATACAGAAACAACATTGACATAAATTTAATTTGTAGTTTACTTTTACAAATAAAGTCTTGCTTTGATTTTGACTAATGGGTCTTTGAAGATAGATCCATATTCTCAGGCAAAGTACATCTCTGGAAAAATATTTCTTATGAATGCATAAGTTGATTTTTCTGGATTATATCTTCTTCCATTTATTAAATCAATATGTTTATTGTGGAAAAGAGCTATAATTCATAGACATGAACACATGTCTTGGCATGCAAAGGGTCCAAGTGATGCATATAGATAGATGATTATTTAAAATAATATTGGAAGCCAAATTAAAACTAGATGATGCAATATGTCATTAGTATTGCTTATTAGTGAATATGCTTATCTGCATTTACTAGCTTTTCTGAGAGTAAAGTGTAGCCAGAAAAAAAATATTCTCTGCTTTAATTTTGCCATATTGCCTGGCACTCCTAGTCAAAGAGAGTTCTTATGGTTTAAGTTTATTCACATCCTCTGTGATTAGCAGTGCTAGGAATTTTTGTGGCTAACACGATACATTCAAAACAAACCAAAGACAGTTATTCCACTTAGAGAAAGAACCAATAAATGTGTGGTTCCATATGACTTAATAGAACATATACAAGTACATTAACAGTAGATACTGTGGTTCCTGACAGAGTAAACCAATTTACTTCAACAATATGATAGGGAATATTATAGAAGCTTATCTATACTTATCTTAAGTAGAAATATGTAATATTTCACTTGGATGGGGTGAACTTATTTATATATTCTTCCCCTTTGGCTAAGGTTGTATAGTATATGTTCTTTTCAGTTTTAATTTATGAATTATTTATTTCATCACAAGAGTAATTATGATTAGCTAGTCGCTGGAAAAAAAATCTGTGATGTCAAATTTCAAAATATTTAATTATTTCAATATTCAAATTGTCAGAGAAATGTAAAAATTATTCAGTAAGCATACTTTAGCTTAATATTTTTGCAATGTGATTTAATGGGTATATTTAAATTTTTGATTAAATATGCACTTATAAGTAATCAGTATAAATTTTCCAGGTTATGACTGCACTAATAAACAATTCATAATCTGAACTGAAACACTTAAGTTTCCTGCAGTGTCTCTAGAAATAACCACTAGAGCAGTGGTTCTCAACCTGTGGGTCGGGACCCCATTTGGGGTCGAACGACCATTTCACGGGGGTTGCCAAACAACGCAGTCCGCCATTTCCCCCCCCCCTTTTCCTTAACTGTGCTACTCCCTTTTATTCTATTGGCTTTTGAAAGCCAATAGAATAGACTCTCTTGAATAGAGTCTAATTCTATTGGCTTTCAAAAGCCAATAGGAATTGTCCAGGCTGTCTCTGCCCTGCTGAGCCCGCCAAAAGTCCCATTCTGCAAACGGTGCTGCACCAGTTGAGTAGTCCTCGACTTACGACCGGTTGAGTAGTCCTCGACTTACGACCGGTTGAGGGTCACGGCATTAAAAAGGTTGAGAATCACTGCACTAGAGGATTCACAGTGAATGGGCATTTAACTGCTAGCTGTACGACTTACTTCGCTTTGGTTGCTGCTTTATATAAGTGTAAAGTTAATATAGAGCCAATGCAATCACGCTACAGTGTGTATGCATACTGTATTATTATTTTCAGCTCGAATCAACCCTATTGCAGGTTGAAGTCTTTTTCACTGAATGTTACAGATTATTATCTACTGTGGTGGTCTAGTACGAATTGGTAGATATTTTTAATTCCCCCAACTAGGGATGAAAAAGAGTGATATTGGCCCAAAGTCATCTGCCAGTTTCTGTGCTTAAGGAAGGATTGAATCTTGTCTCTCTGCTTCTAGTTCAGCAGTTTAATTGCTACACCATGCTGATATTTTCTTTCTCTCTACATATACAAACATGCATACATACATAGACATAGATACATATGCTAGGGGTGTGTAATAACATCATATGTGTCCTCTTTCACAGACTTCCATTTTAAATTACATCTGACATTTAAACTTGTAATGCAAGACTGTAACTGAGGTAAAAGAATAGTAAGGAGATTCCTGCAAAAGAAGAGAGATTGCAGAAAGGGAGAAAGTGTGTGGACTTAAATACTATAGAAAGTATTTAATTTAATTTAATAGCAAAGGTAGAAAAGCTCTATATCTCTACTGCCTATAATATCTTTCCTCCTGCTTGTAATTATCAAGAGATCATTGAAATGGATAGAAAACCATCTTTTGTACTTCATGCAGTATAAATAGTTGTTCCATGCTTATATAAATGTGTGTATGTGTAGGTGCACATTTTAAAGCAAGTATTTGAGCCATTAAATTACTGATGCAGTGTTAAATATACAGTTGGCATTTTAATTTCTTCATTCTTGTTTCAAGAGCGGAAGAATCATATTTTCTCCCATGTACATACACAATGTTTTTAACTTTCTGTGGATAATCTGAAAGTATATGTAATCAAAATTATTTTGTATATCAGGGCATCAAGTTATCAGCAGAGGTCAAACCATTTGTCCCCAAGTTTGCAGCAGTAACAGTGGCATGGTCAGAACCCGCAGAAGCGTGTGTCTTTCCTGGATATTATACTACATGCTACCCATATGTTCAGGAGCCATCAATGAATAAGTATGTACCCTTTATGTCTCATTTTTGAGAAACTATTAATTTCCCAAGATCTTGAATTTAATTTCTAAGTAGTTTGGTGAATTATATTTATTGGTTATTTATTTAAGCAATTTATATGGATCCCCATTTTAACAATAATTCTGAATGATGTTATATTTATTGATTATTTAGTATTTTAGGCTACGGTATTTAATTTATTTCTTATGAGACACTTCAGAGTTGATGTGTCAACTTCAAAAGCCTTTTTTCTCATCCCTAAATGTCTTACTTTATTATCTATGGAATAATAAGAACAGAATTTAAATGGAAAGAGAAGATATTTAAGGATAAAGAAAAAACTTTGAGATATCAATTCCTTCGTATTTAGATTGTTTTGCTGTTGGAACAAAAGTATAGCTTATATCCTATTTATATAAAATAATTCATTTCCAAAAAACATATAGATAAATGTTGATACTTTTACAACTTGTGATATTCATATTCTGTTATATGTTGATCAGAAATCTAAACATCTAGTGCTAGCATTTAGAACTGACTGAAATATTTTCCAATTAATATTACTGCATGCAATATATGGAAGAAATTCTACATCTGTAACCTAACACATGTATTTTTGAATTTTATGAATCAGCTTTCATTCCATATTTTATGTCATTTTATGTTTATTCCTTCTCAAAAAAATCTTAGCAAAATAAACCAAGTGATTTGTTATAGCTTTAAAAAGCCATGTTTTTACATTACAATTGTTTTATAATTTGTTACATTTGAATACCACCCATATTATGATATAAAATAAAAACATACTTCTACAGTGGGATTATTTTCCTACTGTAAAATACCGATGCATTTGAGTAACCTGTTCTGCTAAAAATCAATACGCTTATTCTGTTTAAGACAACAGCTATATGTTGAAGAAGTATCATGGGACACCTCCACCTGTCTTTCTCAGCGTGCATCTCAAAATCTTACAGGACGTGCTTCTCTTGAAGAGTACACCAATTCTCCTTATTCTCTTACTGCCACACCAAATACACGTGCAGTTTCCAGCTTCCAAAGTCAGAACAGTTCTACTAAACCGGGTAGAGAGTACATGAAACAGGCTTCTTTCATCAGAAAAGAAGGTGCTTGTTTTCCCAGGGTAAGTGATAAAGGTTTAGACAACTATTTTCTGTCTGTCTGTATTCTCGTCTCTTGCTCTTCATCTCCAAAGAAGGAGGTATACTGTTGAACCTTGCCTAAATCAACGGTAGTCAACCGTGGCTCTTTTATGACTCGTGGACTTCAACTCTCAGAATTCCTGAGCCAGATGCTGGCTCAGGAATTCTGGGAGTTGAAGTCCACGAGTCATAAAAGAGCCAAGGTTGACTACCCCTGACCTAAATGAAAACCTGTGGGCCTCCTCTTGGTGTTCTTTCTGATCTTTAGCTGTCCTTGGATTCACAAGTAATGACTGCGATAAAGAGCATGATTGCCCAAATAGATACACTGTGTTAGCTGCGACTTTTCCAAAGACAAATCAGATGTGGTAACCCTTGTTCATGCTTTGTATTTCAATGCAACTTTTACAAAGAGCATCATAGGTAGACCTCAACTTACAGCCAGACATGGGACCAGAACTTCCATTGCTAAGCGGGGAAATTGTTAAGTGAGTAACATCCAATTTTACAATTATTTTTTTGGGGGGAGGGGGCATAGTTACTATGTAAATCACCCAGGTTGTTAAACAAATCCCCCATGGACATTGTTTGTTCGAAGTCTCCTGGAAAGGTCGCAAATGGAGATCACATGACCCCAGGACAATGCAGCTATCATAAACACAAGCCAGTTGTCAAGCACCCAAATTTTGACCACATAAACTTGGGGATGCTGCAATAGTTATAATTGTGAGCACTAGTCACAAATCGCTTTTTTTTCTAGTACCTGTGAAAAGTTGCTAAATTAATGGTTGTAAGTCGAGGACTACCCATGCATAGGGATATCCTTGAAAAAAGCCTAGAAGCCTCAGTTAATATAAAATGCAGGAGCTGAGCTGCAAACCAATATTTGAATCTTATAGCTGGATCTGTATTATTCAATTGGTTATCTCATCAGAAAGTGAAGTAGATAGTATTAACCATTTTTAAAGTTTAGGGGGCTATCTAAGAAATCATCTTCCTGATATGAACATGTCTGAATATTAAAATCTGCAGAAGAGGCTCAACTGTGTGCCTTCTATCCGAGGGACCAATTACTAGATATAGGCCAGTGATGGCGAACCTTTTAGAGACTGAGTGCCCAAACTGCAACCCAAAACCCACTTATGCATCGTTGAGTGCCAGGTGGGTGTGGCCCATTGGGTGGGTGTCTCCCATTGGGTGGGCGTAACCCATTGGGTGGGTGTGGCTGCGGTGGTAATGGCAGACTAGATGGGACTAAAAAGTTCAATCAATCAATTTCAACTTTGCAAGATCTTTTTTTTTCCCGCGAGAAGTTGAAATTGATTGATTGAACCTTTTTTTTTATTCACACGGCGGCGGAGGCCTAAAGCAAAAATGTTTTATAAAACCCAGCTGAAGGCCTAGGACTGGGGTGATGGCGCATGTGCCCACAGAGAGGGCTCTGAGTGCTGCCTCTGGCACCTGTGCCATAGATTCGCCACCACTGATATAGGCAAAAGGACCTTCAGCATTAATCCCAGGAGGAAATATATTCTCTTGGCTGTATCTTTTCTTTAGGTATAATCTATGTTTATTCTTGAATGTTCATTTTGTTTTACATGTTTTATTTTAATAACTGTTCAGTATTTGAATAAATGTAAATAATATAAGTGGAATAAACAAGGAAATATTTTAGGAAATTCAACTTGGAACGTATTGTTTTTCCTTTTTATTTTGTACAGAGACGACTGGAAAATAATGAAACCAGACTGGAGAATAAAAGGCCTAATGGAAGTGATTTTACCTGGAGATCAACAGACAATGCATCTTATATTGCTCTGCATAGCAGAAATCCTATTAAATCTGGTACACTGACTCACATGATTGAAAAAAAAGAGGCCAGAATACACAGTAAGATCACTTTTAGATAACATGTTATTAAATAATATATTTAAGGAATGTTAAAATGCAGCACTTTCTCATTCACACAGAGAAAATATTGTAAAATGTTCCCTCTGCTGAAATAAAGAGGATCCTATAGAAATCTTTGAGGAAAAAAAAAACAGATTTTGCACATAGCTGGAACAGGGCACAGAGGTGTGCGTCTACAAGTTTGATTCCTAAATCAAACAGGAGGGGAAATGAAGGGAAACAACCTAATTAGAACTAAGAATGGTTAGTGGGGATATAATCATTGGTTGGCTTGGCTGGCGAGAAAGATGAAATTACACTATGCAGGGTGATAGAATGCAGTGGCTTGAGTCTTGAACAGAATAATTTGTTTCAGGATCTGGCCTATATATAATAACTGTTAAAAATAGTAAACTGATTATGTGTTATTGAAAAAGGTAACCATTAGTGTTTACATTTTGTTTTAAATTAGATAGGCCTATTAAAGTTATGAATGGGAAGTTCAAGCAAATTCCAAACGCTGAGCATCTTCCAGAACCTGCCTTTGAAATGACCTTGTCAGATTTCCCAAAACTCCAAGACCTAGAAAGTAACAATCTCCTGGATCTTCAAAAGCATGCATGGGGGCCAGTGGGCTCAGCAGAAGGAGATAAGCTGCCTCTGACACCACCAGGAAAACTTGCAATTTCAAACATAACCAAAGAGGTTAGCCACTGGATAGTGTTTGAAATGTTGAACATAGAGGTGTTGATACGAAACCATTTGCTAATCAGTACAACTGCCAATTTCTATTAAGGGAACGTGAATAGAAATATATCTCATCAATAATGTCAGTTCCATTGCATGTTAGAGAAAATTTGGAGCTAAATTCTTAGTTATCAAAAATGTTCCTCTAAGTCTTCCTAAAATGACATTCTGATTATTTTATATGTTATGTATAAAATATCCTCTTTGGGGGGGAGGGGAAAACTTAGTTTGATTTATATTTATAAAGAGAAAGAGTTGGGTTGGCAACTAAAAATGATTAAATGTTTTTATTACTCTTGTGTATATAATAATTTTTGCGTGAGTTGGTGTATTCTTTTGTTCTGTAATAATTTTGTAGTTGTCTCACAGTGAGAACAATGCATTGATTGTATTAATATGGCTTAAGTTCTTTGTACTATCTAGCAGGTAATAAATATTAACAAATCATATTTGCTAAATAAAAAAATTAGACAGCCAAGTATACATTCTCCATATATGAGTTTTGATGTATGGTGGTTTTGTTAAATGGGCCTAATAAATTTAAAGTTCATCCATAGACTTTTTTTAAAAAAATGTTTTGCTCAGTTAAAACACTTCTTTTTAATTTTTTCCTCATTCTTCTATGAGTTTAGCTTCATTTATTACATATAAATAGATAGGAAATTCAGAGTTATAAGTGGTAATGACCATTTGCAAAATATAAATCCACCTCTTCCCAAGAAATTCTGTATAAAAAACTTAAAGATTTTAAAAATGAGGATTTAAAAGCATAAGATTTTTATGCTGTCTGGCAAAAAAAAATGTATGTGTGTATGCATGTGTGTATGTATGTATTTGTACTTTATTTCCAGTGGCTCTTGTAAATTTGTAATTGAACATAACTAAATATGGATTTTCCATTGTACATAAATTATATACTAGATTCCGAAGAATTCCTTTAATGAAGCAAGATGTTTTCTGCAACAACTGAAGCTATTCTGGACTAGTTTTTTTTATTTTATTATGAAAGTATTATTTTATTTATTATCATGGTGAGGCTTTACTTTCTGATTGATTCCGAGTAGTGGTGCATGTGATAAATTATTTTTAAATTATGCTAAATTGTGCATATTTTCAACTAAAGGTGTCAATATTTACTATAGGTTGAAGTATGTCGGAAAAATTATTTCCCTACAAGACCCTTAAGTTCTTCATCAGATCCTGGTGGTAAGTATTATTCAGCCTAGTATAACTTGGCTTCATGTTGATGCTGTATCCTGCTACTTTAGAGTTTAAAGTATTAATTCTCATTCCACTTCTTACTGTATAAATGCATAAGCTTAAAATCCATTCATTCTGTGGATAAAGTATCCATACATGTGATTAGTCTGTTTCAAGGTATACAATAATTATTGAAGACCTCCATTTTTCATTTAATACATAAAATACAAATCATGATTTTATATGGGGCAACCTTGGTGCTCTCTGAGCTTGGTTGTTTTCTTGCAAACATTTCATTACCCAAACTAGGTAATATCATCAGTGCTAGTAAGGAGTCAGTTTGCTCTCAGTTTATATTCTAGTGGCTTTCCCTGTCAGTGTTAATCTATGCTCATCGTGGTCGAAACTATGGTTAGGTCTGGGAAACTATGACCATCCTAAACGAAGCCAAGTCCAAAAACACTAGAAGCCTGACACTGACAAATTAGCCATTAATAGACACATAGACATAAACAATATCTACATATTATGCAACAGAGACAATCAGCAAGCCAAAAAGAGAACAAAAAGACCAAAACACCCTCCACCAGCAAGCAGCACCCAGATGAGCATAGATTAACTTCAAGATTAACATCAGACCAACAGTCAAGTAAACAATACCCTAGTCAAGGAACTGCCATACAAGCTAAAGGTAAACAGCCCAACCAAAGAATCTCAAAGACCACCCGCAACACTGACAGGGCAAGTTACTAGAATATAAACAGAGCAAATCCACTCCTTACTAGCACTGATGATGTTACCTAGTTTGGGTAATGAAACATCTGCAAAAAAACCAGCCAAGCTCGGAGAGCACCAAGGACCCCTTATTTAAACCTTGAGCTACAAATATTTTCCTTTAATCATTTCATATATAATTTTACAGTCCAGTATGTCACCAGAAGATTTGTTAAGATTTATTTGTCAGGCTGTCCTTAAATATAATACTTTTTTTTAGTGAGAGGGAATACTTTTCCAAAATAGCACCTTTAGAAAGGGTTTCTTAGAAAGCTTGGCATAGCCCAGAGGTAGGCAACCTTGGCTCTTTTATGACTCATGGACTTCAACTCCCAGAATTCCTGAGCCAGCTAGGAATTCTGGGAGTTAAAGTCCATGAGTCATAAAAGAGCCAAGGTTGCCTACCCCTGGAATAGTCCAGTGGTGGTGAACCTATGACATGGGTGCCAGAGGCGGCACTCAGAGCCCTCTCTGTGGGCACGCGCGCCGTCGCCCCAGTCCTAGGCCTTCAGCTGGGTTTTATAAAACCTTTTCGCTTTAGGCCTCCGCCACCATGTGCAAAACAAAAAAAAAGGTTCAATCAGTCAATTTCAACTTCTCATGGGGGGAAAAAAGATCTCGCAAGGTTGGAATTGATTGATTGAACTTTTTAGTCCCACCTAGTCTGCCATTACCACTGCAGCCATGCCCACCCAAATGGCCATGCCCACCCAAATGGCCACACCCAGCCAATGGCCCACACCCACCCGGCATTCGACGATGCATAAGTGGGTTTTGGGTTGCAGTTTGGGAACTCAGTCTCTAAAGGGTTTGCCATCGTTGGGATAGCCTATTAAAAGTATATCTTGCTGAACTTTAGTGGTTGATACTACTTAGTTTGTATATACATTCTGTCTGTTCTCAGTTCCTCAGGTGCATTCAGACCTTTTCACTGAACCACCCTTGTCTTGGGCCACTGTGTTGTCACAAACTCGTAAAAAAGTTGTTTCAGTTCCAGCTTCAATTTTGGCGAGCAATCATTCTGGAAATAATAAAACAGATAATGCTCCTGAGGATTACAAGGTACAAAGATTAGTTTCCAAGCTCTTTTACTGTTTTATAATTAGCCAGAACTTTTAGTGAACTTGCAGCATAAAATATTTAAAATGCATGGATTTGTAAGAGGAAGAATGATAATCATGATAAAAATCAAACATGTTATTTCTCTAGAATATTTTTAATGGAAGTGGTATAAAAATGTTTTAAATAAATAAATGAGATTAAGTAACCCACATTTTTTTCTTTTTTTTTCTGTGCATAATCTCTCCCCTGATCAACTTTCCTTGATTTTTACCACATAGCTCTTCTTCTATTTATGCTTATTATTTATTTATATTTATTTATTTAAAATATTTATATGGCCATTCATCTTAAACCTCTCTGGGCAGCTCACCATAACAATAAACCAATTCATAAAAAAGATCATAAAAGCAATAAAACATATATCTTCACTTCCTTATAGCATGCTATTAATCTTCCTGAGACTATTTTCTATTCTTTTAATTATAAAATGTCTTCCTCTTAATCTTGAAAAAAACAACCTGATTTTTATCTCTTAGTATAGATATAACATGCATTTATAATCATGTTTTGAAATTGGGCAGAGTGGCTAAAATAAGAACAGAATTATGACATAGGCCACTGTTCCATGGACCCCTGTTGGGCCAGGATGTGGTTACAAGGTGGTCCGCGAAGGCCCAAAAAAATTTATGTTTTAAATGAGTTAAGTCTTAGTGGTCCATGGCCATGGCCACAAAAGGTTTTAAAGGGTTTGTGTGGTAAAGAAAAAGTTGGGAACCACTGACATAGGGAGTCATTTTCCTATATTTGATTCCAGGTAGGAAAACATGTTTTCTCACTATGTGAGACTAAGAGCTTATTTGAATTGTATTTGAGGGTAGATAATTGTAACTAAAATTGTAGCCTTACCCTACAATATAGTCTTGGCTTTATTTTAATCCTCTCCTAAGAAATTATTTACTTCTATTTATACAGCAATCAGAAACAAGAGAAAATGCAAATGATCTTGAAGAAACAGTAGATCAGAAGAAAAAGAAGAAGAAGAAGAAGAAAAAGAAAACCAGATCATGCAGTGAAGTAGAGAAACTTCCTACCCAGAGCATTTTAGTTCAAGAACCTCCAAGAATTGAGGTGCTAAAGCTAATTATCTGACTCAATTAATTATTTATTCATATGTTTGTGAAGGAAGTATATTAATGAATAATTTAAAGAAATAAAAAGTAATTATGATTTAAGCTCCACGTAACAATCCAAAATCATATAAATTTTATTTTATATTTTATATTCCAGGCTTTAGTATAAATTTCTTCCCTCAATTATTTAAAATGCCAGGTCCTATTTAAAAATAAAGTTTTATCATTTTTATTTTACTTTTTAATGACGTATAATAACAATAGTACATAAGTGGAGAAAATCACAATCTTATAAAAGTTATATATATTCTACTACTAAGTAGAAAATAGTTTTAAGTATTAAACTGATATAGTGTATAATAATTATTTTTCTTTTAAGTTTATAACTTGGATTAGTACTGTTTCCACTAAAAAGTTATAATATCTTTAACAAATTAAAGGTTTGTTTTCCTCTCTGAATGATAAATAAAGAAACAAATAAATACAGAGACACATACACATAGTAAAAATAGAATATTTGTATTTGAACTGCTCATAATTTTCTTTCATTTTTTTTTTGTAATTGTTCTTTTTTTAATTGTAAGTCATTTAAAAATCTCAGGAGTTAGGCAGTCTCTGAATTGTATGTGAAAATAAATAGTTTCCTATCCAGATCTACTCAAACAACCTATTTTGATTTATGCAGGATGTTGAAGAATTCCCAGATTTAGCAGCTGCTTTTGACAGAAAACATAAACAGGCAACTGAAAATACTACTTGTATAACACCTATTATTGAGAAGACTAATGTAAGAATTATTATTTATTTCTATTTTTACTTTTAAATGAGTATTCATTTTTATTTTAAATATATTTATTTTGTTTTATCATGCAAGATAAAATACAAAACAGAAAAACAAACAAAATAAAAACATATGCCCAGCACTAACAACAACAAAAAAGAAAAAAATGGTATACAAAAAAAGAGAAAAAAGTGATCCAAATACCAAGTAAATTTAACATTATTTTTTATTTATTTTTTAATGGCTGGGATTTATTCCTTTTTCATTTCAAATTGGTCCTGAGCACTTTGCTCAAGTGGACTTCATTTATCGGTCAACTGATAAACGATATCAGTCATAATAAAGGAATTGGGAATAAAAATAAAAGGAAGATACTCTAACAAAAATTTCCTTTGTCTCCACCAGTTCCCCTGCAATCCAGTGAACAGGAAGATGATATGATACTAAGTATCAGTATCATCTTTCTCAATCAAAATTCTTGAAGACTGCAAACGCACCTCATAAGGTTTCTTAGGAAATAAAACTAATAGAGAGCTGCAGTGTTAGAAAATAACTTTGGAAAATACCCTTGCTACTTTATATTTTCATATAATTTTATGAATAGGCAAGTACCCAAAGAAGGTATTTTGTGAAGTATACACATTATGGTCTCAAAACTGCTTCCTGACTCACAATGAATTAAAAATGGCTGCCCTACACACATTAGAAAAGCTTTGGTAATTACATGGACCCAAAGTTGTTTGTTGATGACAACATCCCCATGCATGCAAGACTGATGGACAATCTTATCACATAGCACAGAGAGATATGTGAAACTAAAGAACTGAAGCAGGAATAGATGCATGTGTGAAAGCATCCATAGAATATCACTTGATCCAAACCTATCATCATAATTTTGGAGTTAATAGCTAGAATCCTGTTAACTCATGATTTGAAGGTTGTCAGCTCATAAGAACTTAGATCAATGGATTAAAATCTACAAGTAGTCCTTGTTTTGTAACCAGCAACTTAGTGTATGTTCTTGCTTCAGCTTTCCTTTGCTTTACAGACCTGTAAATACTAGGACTGGTTGCAAAGTTTCTTTTTCATCACCATTGTAACTACAAATGGTCACTAAACAAGTCAACTGCTAAATAAGGACTACTTGTAATTAGACTACTCAACTGAGAGCCATACCTTTTCACCCTTCATACCTTTTTCATTTTATTTGTTTTCCAGGTAATCACAGAGCTCTCTAGATTGGAGTCTCATGATCATTCTCTAAAGGAATTAATAATACCTATGTCAGATATATTATCAACAAGAAAAAAAGGCAAACAGGATTCACCAGCTCCAATAGAAAAAAGGAAAATGCAGGTGAATTTATTTTTTCTGTGTTACATTAACTTGTTTGTAGGCTATATGAATATTGCTAGATAGATATGCTCACATACATTTTATTTCTTAGATAGAATTTGGAATGGGAGAAAATCTGTGGGTTTTTTGTTTTTTTTTACTTCCTACAGGATGCTCTTCCATCTAAGAAGAATAGAAGAAAAAGTCAGATTCCTGTGCAGCTTGATTTAGGGGGTATGCTGGCAGTTTTGGAAGAAAAACAGCATGCAGAAAAATTAAACCAATCATCTAAACCTGTGGTGCTTTCAGGTATGCTTTTGATACTGTTTCTCTAAATCAGGCATGTCAAATTGCAGGCCTGCAGGCCGAATGCATCATACTAAAACCGCCGGCAATGGGGAAAAAGTTGCGATACGTCGCGCGACGTCACGTGATGTCGCGAGTTTGACATGTCTGCTCTAGATTATGACATTCAAATCTATCACTCTTTTTCTGTTTTGTACTTCATATCATCTAAGGTGAGCTAACTATTGAAAGAATTCAATAAAGGAATAGAATGAAAGAATTCAGATATTATTTTATTCTCTGTTAAGTGAAGTCAAAGCTATCAGTTGCTTTTTTTGGGGCCAGCATTTTCTTCTTGTTTTTATTACATTATTTCAGTATTTATGTTTTGTTTTCCTACACATTCAATAAGTTTCAATTTTTAATTTGCAGCAATGCTTATTTTTGGCTGTCTTTTCTGTAATCAGCCAATGCATGCTTTTCTTCTTCAATAGTTTGACTTGAAGTAAACTTCTGCCTCCATTTTGTGGGGCAGGTATAATCTATCAAAACCACCATGGGGATGTGATGCATTAGCTTTAATGTTTCTCAGTCTAAATGGTTCAGTTTTATATCATAGGTAAGGCCCAAGTATAGATGGCTTTGATGATATTTCCACGATTGAAATAAATAATAAATTATGATTATGATGTGTGGGTAATCTACTATTACATTAACAGTCTTAGACACTGGATGGGTATGAAAGATACAGTTGCTCTTAATCTACAAAAGTTTGTGAGAGCAGTCTGAATATATTATGCAAGATATTACAATAAATGTGGACAAATATAAGGTGATAATGATCACTGAATTTCAGTGAAAAGTTTCATGACTTCTTAAATGTCATTTAAACACTTGGTATAAACATCAAACTGATTTATTTGCAGTAATAAGGTAAGCATGAGCGTAAATACTTGCTGGAGCAATCTGCAGTTGAGTGGATGGTGAGAGAGAGAGAGAGGGAGGGAGGGAGGGAGGGAGGGAGAGAGAGAGAGAACTATAGTATTTTATCATTTTAAAAAAATAGTAGTGATATAAACAACGAATTACTCTTAGTTAAAATTGGTAGGAACAGAGGCAGAAGAAATTTTTTAAAACTGCCATATTCCCAAGAGAAGGCTGGTGTAATGTATTGCTACACAAAGAAAGGAAGACGTTCTGTTACATATTCTTGAGTTTATGTGATGAGTTCACTGTTAAACCTGAATTACACTCAAAGGTAAGTAATGACTTCAGATTTAAAGCCTCCATCAGATTATATTTGCATATTTATATTTGTTTCAGTGGGTGGTGGAGTAACATTGCCCTCTAAGGAATCTGTCAGAGTAACAAAAATTTCGCAGTCAATTCAGAACAATACTCCACACAATCCCTTGGACTCTAGTTCTCCATTGGTCAAGAAAGGGAAGCAGAGAGAAGTCCCAAAGCCAAAGAAGCCAACATCACTAAAAAAGGTACATTCATCTAACCACTCTAAGTACACTATAGTGTAACTGTTGCTCCTTTGCTGTACCAACATTTCTCAACCTGACAACTTGAAGATGTGTGAGCTTCAACTCCCAGAATTCCCCAGACTGGCTGGACAATTCTGGCAATTGAAGTTGACACATCTTAAAGTTGCTATTGTTGAGAAACACTGCTATAGATGCATTGGCCTTCTTTAATATTTAATACTATGAAATTCTTCAAACTGTTGCTACAAGAAACATATTAAGGACTAATACATTAATCCTTAGGGATGTGGGTGAGATAGAATGTGAGTGAATTCACTTTTAAGGTAAAATTGCTCAAAGAGTTTTTTGGGGACAGGGTGTTGAAATGATCAGGAGTATAAAATGTATAGCTACCTTACTATGACACAGCAGCATAACATGTGAACTATCTTTTAATTTAACATTAAAAAGATGCCTCTTCTTGTTAAGATAATGCCATAGTTTTCTCATAGGATTTCTCTTTACATTAATTTAAATGTGGCAATTAGCAACTGCCTGTCAGAGATGTGTAACAGCCTTTCTACTGCTGTAAAACTGCACCACCAGGTCTGCCTCATCCAATAGAACAGTCCAGGGTGATGTCACAAATATTAGTTTTCAGCTTAGTGTTTGCTGCCACCATTTTGTTTTCCTTTTCTTAAACAGGGTTGTAGCAGTAAGGCCAAAAGGATGAAAATGTCTTCCCTTTTTTGCAATTGAAGGAATTTAAGAGCTTTTAAACTAATACCTGCTTTTCAGTCCGTGAAGACCAAGGCCTTCTGATGCATGTTACCACATTGTAATCTACATAAGACATAAACTGGCAAAAATATATCTGTTTAAAATGGTACTGAAACTTTATTAAGAATACACAGTAGTAAAGAAAACATGGATGGGTGTTAGGTTAAAAAAAGTATAAACAAGGAGATGATGGGAAGGCTTAGCATAAAATGATAATGAGATATTAGAAGAAAGACTAGCTTTGAAAGACATTGAATGAGGCTAGCTTAGTGCCTGTTCAATATAATATAAAATACAAATACTACTCTTTCTGGACATTCATGCACCTAGAAGTCTGCATAACTCCCATTTTTTTTCTGCATTCTGGAAGATTTCACTCACAACTTGAGCTTAGATTCCTCTGTTTCTTTCTTCAGAGCTAGTCAGGGTTCCAAGAAAAGTCCATAGAAGGAGAAGGGAAAAATGTCTAGCCAATTTCTTCCATGTTCTTTAGCTGCCAAGAGATAGGTGTTGTTACTCAGGGATTTGGACAAGTGACCGTCTCTAGATTTTTGGCCAGTGGTGGGTCAACATGAATAAAACCTTACCTAATGTGAATCTCTAGAAGCCTACATTACTAAAGGCGTTCATTTCAACCCATCCCATTGAGCATGTAGAACAGGATTCAGTATTTGCAACATATTTAAAATCTGTCCACTTGCCATGCTACCTTTCATGGAAAGTCACAGACAAAAAGCATCCTAAAGTAGTTAAACATTGCCTGCCAATATTTCAGGAACCAATTAGCTTTATTTGGGGAGAGCCTAACGCACGTATTTTCTTTTTAAGATTATTTTAAAGGAGAGAGAACAGCGAAAACAGCAGCACATTTTGGAACAAATGGCTACACCAAAGAAAGCTGATGCTGTTGAGCAGAGTGCAGAATCTGTTCCTGATGAGGAGCAACATTGTAAAGCCTCCAAAGAAGTTGCAGAGTGCATCAGCAGGCAATCAGCTCCAGGTGCTTGTAGGGAATGGATTGTTTAAAAAATGTGTTAATGAATAATTGGTGTGGCTTGTTTGTGATACAGCAGCTACTGCACATAAGCCTAGACCAGAGGTAGGCAACCTGGGCTCTTTTATGACTTGTGGATTTCAGAACCCAGAATTCCTGAACCAGCCATGCTGACTCAGGAGTTCTGGGAGTTGAAGTCCACAAGTCATAAAAGCGCCAAGGTTGCCTACCCGTGGCCTAGACATTGCTTTTTTCCTACAGAGTGCACAAAAAAAATCTTGCTTAAAAATTCTCATCTTCCTTTTGCGGATATAATTGCCACTTTTGAGCCTTTTGTAGATAGTTAAAAGCTGCAGTGGATAAGGTTGATCTTCATTGCACCCGTGCTTATATCTTAAGTTGGCATTTAGCATTGCCAGGTTTTCTACATGCAAAAGGCACTGTTCAATTTAAAACAGGAACAGTAAAGAATTAGCTTCTCTTATAACCTAAAAGAGCTTGAAAATGTGAAGAAGAGATATTATTTCTATTTTATGTTTTAATCTAATTTTAAATGCAACTATAACTAACATGCACACATGGTATATTATATATATTTAGCATATCGTATACATTTAGTGTATGTGTATGTATCACTTATTCTTCAGACCATTCTCAAGCAATATAAAAAGTTTGACAATAAATTAAATATAATATAAAATGCAATGAGAACATAGAATAAAGAAAAATAAGAAAATTTTAGTAATGGTGTTTGGAATATTACATAGTGATCGTTCAGTCTGGCTTTCGGACAAATGGATCGAGCACTCTCCTTCTTGGTATTGATTTTAACTCACTAGTTATAAATATGAAACATAATGCCTTTGAAGGATGGTGATGTGATTATTTTAAATGTTAATTATTTGCTTTGCATACAAAGATTGCTTAAACTTTAAACAGAAATTATGTAAAATGTCGTGTTCCATGGCTACCCTTTCTGTAATCTCTCCTCCTTATGTGGCCTGTCACTTTTCATGCCAGATTAACTTTAATACTTCCTTAATAGATTTAAACTGACCCAAATTAATCAGTAATATTTCTAAGGCTTCTGAACAAAATAACCATTTGTGTATACTTCCTTTTACTTAGAAGTTGTAAAAGAAGTTGCAGGAATTCTGACTGAGAGTAATTCAGAAGTGGACTTGAGATGTACAGAATTCAGTGGCTCCGTGCAAAACTCCATTGCTCCATCGGAGTTGAAACCCAGCTTTCCCAAAATCCATAGCCGAAGATTTAGAGAGTGAGTACATTGATATCAGTCATTCAAACCTTGCTTCTGTTATCGGCCTGGGAGCTCTGTGGAGTGAGATGCCTGATGGTAATTCTGGCACAAGGCTACAATCTGAATAGATTCCTTACAAGGCCTGTTCAAGAGTTCAACAGAATATGTAAAAACATCCACACTGGATAGAGAATGAAGATATCCTTTCTTCCTCTCCCCCACTTGTGCAATGTGAATGTCTGAAGGGAAGCTCTATTCATACTGATCTGAAATATTAGTACAGCTTCCCACGCAGTGCAAACTTACGTTTTTTCACTCATGTTCAAACAAGTAACTTTGATTTGAGATTTCCAACTGAACTTCTGAAGATCAGAAAGGGATGGAGCTGCCTCTATGGCCCTGTTCCAAATCCAATTTGACCTCCTCCATACATTCAGCTACAGGCTGGATTAGTAAAATTCTGCAATGAACCTTAATTATAAGCAAATTACACGTTAGGATGGAATGATGGATTTGCGCTTTTGGATAAGTTTGACCATTGGAAATGTTTAGTTCACAGGAGAAGAAATTGACATTTTTAAACTATCTTACCCTTACATGTACTGTTTGGTTCAGATGATGTTAATTAGGTGTGAATTTGATTCAGCTCCTGGTATCAGTAGGGACAAATATTTTCCATCTTGACTTGTTCCAGATGATAATCCATACCTTTTCCAATGACATTTCAGTGATATTTTCTACTTTATTCAATGTTGCCAAATGTAGAGATTTTTTTCTCCCCCCCAAGTCCATCATACCACTTGTCCAAAGTATTCTATGCTGATCATAGATTCAAGGGATAGATTAGAATTTATTTAGTCCAAAGCTGTTTGGTTCTTCTTGCAGTCCACAACATTCTTAAAATTGTCTCCAAATCTATAATCCTCATTCTTTCCCTCTTCCTTAATGTCCAGCATTAATTGCTCTACATTTCTGCTGAAGAAACCATTGCTTATATCTTTATCCTTCATGATATTTGTTGTTGTTGTTAATTGCGAAGTCGTGTCCGACCCATCGCGACCCCATGGACAACGTTCCTCCAGGTCTTCCTGTCCTCTACCATCTTCTGGAGTCCATTTAAATTACCTACTGCTTCAGTGACTCCATCCAGCCACATTCTCTGTCGTCCCCTTCTTCTATTGCCCTCAATCTTTCCCAGCATTAGGCTCTTCTCCAGTGAATCCTTCCTTCTCATTAGGTGGCCAAAGTACTTGAGTTTCAACTTAAGGATCTGGCCTTCTAAAGAGCAGTCGGGGTTGATCTCTTCTCATGATATTAGTTTGCTGTTATTATCCTGCTAGGGTTAATCTACTCTTTTTTTCTATCCATCTTTATTCTTGACCCCAAATTCCAAAATTATCTACCACCTTCAGTTCTTTCAGCTTTCTGTTGTATGTTCACAATGTATATAGATTGATACGACTTTTCCTTTCTTATTATTTAGCATAAACCCATATTTTTCACTTCTCATTTTTATTTCAATGTTGTTTTGAGTCCAGAACAAGCCATCGCATTCTGTTATTCTGCCATTCTGTTTGTAAAACAGCTTTGAGTACAGTTAATCCCCCAGGTACGAACGTTCATTTAGTGAGTTTTCACAAAAATGAATTTATTCAGAAAGGGTACTTACATTAGAAATTCAAAACTGTGACCAAAAAGAGGCCTCTGTAGCCATGTGACTTGGATTCAGTCACTGCTGCAGTGGTGGCCATTTTTAACTCTGTGATTTGCCTGAGCCATTCCAGTTACAAATGCAATTTCCTAAAGCTGGAAGGATGTGTGTTTTTTTTGTTTTGTTTTGTTTTGTTTTTTTGTCCCTGGTCACATGGCCAAACATGTATATTACTGTAGTTTTTGGGTTTTAAATTTAAATTGCCTCCAGAAGTTGTGGGTACCCCATCACTGGAAACTTTTAAGAAGAAACTGGATAAGTATTTATCAGAAATACTCTCTTGTGAGAGCAGTGGGTTAGACTAGATGACATTATTGAACTATCTAATCCTTTCCTGTTTGATGTTGAAAGTCTGTGTTGAGTTATCATAAATCTTTCTTATTGCCAGAGGCTTTCGCTTTCATCCTTTGTCTTTTTCCAGCTATCGGGATGCTTGATCTGCAAGTCATTTGAATAATTTCTTTGAAATGTTTGAATTTTACAGGGTCTCTTATCTCTTCTCATCTCTCTTCAGGTTCTCTTTCACATAAGTGTATTGCATCTGTTCCCTTAACTGAGCTTAAATTCTGAATGTACTTCTCCCAGTAAAACTTTTCTTTAGCATTTATTTAACTTTTAAATTTTAACTTGTATGTTTGACATCAATAATTCATGATCTGTTCCCCAATCTTCACTTGGAAGTGAATCTTCACCCGGCTGAACAAATTATTGCCTTTTTGATCATCTGTTTCCTATGATAAAGGAGATCTTATTCTGATCTTGCACTTTTCAGTTATGCTGTTGTATGAATATTGCATAGCACAGTGATTCTCAACCTTTCTAATGCCGTGACCCCATAATACAGTTCCCCATGTTGTGGTGACCCCCAAGTGGGTGTGGCCACCAATAAGAGGGAGTAGGACAGCTAGGGAAAAGGGAAAAAAATGGCAGACAGCATGGTTTGGCGACCCCCGTGAAATGGTCATTCGACCCCAAATGGGGTCCCAACCCACAGGTTGAGAACCACTGGCATAGCATATTGGTTTGCTATCCCAAATGTTGAATGTCAGAAATCCAACTACATCGGGGTATAGCTGTGTATACATAAGGAAAATTTTAAATGAGGACAGTTTGCCCTTTATTTTATATGTATATTTTTTCCACATGTTTCCCTTAAGGCATTTTTATTCAGTGTTTTTGTACTTTATTTCATGGTATAGATGTTACTTGTTCTGAACATAGTCTTCTTATTGTTTCGTACGTGTCTTCGATTAGAATGGATAAGAAAGAAATAGAAGGGAGTCAGACATACTGAAACAATTGGTTCTTTCTTTAGCTACTGTACTCAAGTGCTTAGTAAAGAGGTTGACAGCTGCGTTACAGATCTCCTAAAAGAGTTGCTTCGTTTCCAAGACCGCCTGTATCAGAAAGACCCCGTGAAGGCCAAGTCAAAACGCAGACTCGTTATGGGACTCAGAGAAGTGTTGAAACACCTGAAGCTGAAGAAGCTGAAATGTGTCATCATTTCTCCAAATTGTGAAAAAATTCAGTCAAAAGGTAAGGGGTTTTTTTTTAACATTAAAAATGTATTTACCTAAAGAAAACAGATCACTTTTGTGTTGGAGTTTAATGAGACATCGGAGGATACTGTTGAAAGAAAAGTCTTCATCCTGGTTCATCCAAGCCGGGGATAAATAAACAACATGGCGACTGCTTTAGAAAGAAGGTTGCAGTTTATTGAAGAGCCAGAAAGATGGTTCTTGCAGGAAAGAGGAGAGAGAAAGAGGACTGAGCACATGTGGCAAGTAGGTTTTTATACCCACTGAAGCCTTTTGTTTGGAATAGTTTCCTGTTCCTGTGTTGAGGCTTTGTATTTCCTGTGTCACATATTCTGACCTGAATCTTGAGTGTCCCTTTCTGGTATCCTTGCTGGTGGTGGGTTAGTCCTATTATGTCCTAAGGGTTATATCCTGCTTCCCTGGTGTTGGAGCTAATGACTCTTAGAGTTTGGGTGGGGTATGCAGATTTTAGGTGTCTTTGTCTTCTTGATCTCCTAACTGGGGCCTTTCTGATGGTTTACATCTGCATTTGTACAGGGCTGGCTTCTGCTTGGGGGAGGGAGACCTGGGACTATCAAGGAAAACTGGGCATGCTTTTCTGTCTCTTTAAGATCCTGGGAGAAAATATATTTTTCTGCCCTTTTAATATTTTCTTCTCTGGGGAGCTGATTTCCCTCAATACCTCAGGAGAAAAATGAAGAAGAATTAGTTCCTTTGTTAGCAAAATTCTTTTTTAACAGTTCATTCGTTTAATTTGTTGTTGTTTTTTATCACAGGCGGGTTGGACGAGACTCTGCATCTCATAATTGACACTGCATGCGAACAGAATATTCCATTTGTTTTTGCTCTCAATCGCAAAGATCTAGGGCACTGTATGAACAAATTTGTGCCCGTTAGTGTGGTGGGAATATTCAGCTACGATGGTGCTCAGGTGAGTTGTGCACATTGTTTGCCCTCTTCTGCTAATATGGATTTGAATTTCAGGTTTTAAAAGTCTTAATTATTAGTATTGCAACAGTTACTGCTAGCATTTAAAAAGATGCCTGTCAGCAATCCAAGGTATTTTTCTATGCCCTTAAGTAACTTGGTGCTGGCTCAAGGTTGACTCAGCTTTCCATCTTTCCATCTGTAAAATGAGGACCCAGATTGTTGTTGTGGTAATATGCTGACTCTGCAAACCACTTAGAGAGGGCTGAAAAGCACTGCGAAGCGATATATAACTCTAAGCCAGGGCTAGGCAACCTTGGCTCTTTTATGACTCGTGGACTTCAACTCTGGCTTAGGAATTCTGGGAGTTGAAATCCACGAGTCATAAAAGAGCCAAGGTTGCCTACCCCTGGTCTAAGTGCTGTTGCTGTTGCTATTCTAGTGTTAGAGCAATGCAGAATGGCTTGTTCTTGATTACATCTCAGTTACCTATAGGTTCAGTGCAAATGTCTGCAAGAAGAAAGTTTTTGCGTTCACAGCTACAGGTAACTCATGTTTATTGGATTTATATGCAGCCCATCTCATTCTCAGAAGCAATTATTTTCAAATAAAAATGGACTTTCATTGAGTCAGGGCTCTGCGCTGAAGACATGGATTGATTAGCAAGGAGGCATTATTGCAGTGAGAAAATGGTTTTGTCTCAAATGTGTATCTGTCAGATATTCCTTTCTAATAACTATTGAGTAACATGAAGAGAATTGTGCTTGTGTCTGAAATTTCAGCAAATTACTTCTTCTTTGCTTTCCTGCACACTCCTACACAAACGCCTTTGTGACTGTAGCAGAGTATTATTCCTAACTTGTTTGAAGAAAGAAATCAGTGCAGGTTCCCCATGCCCCAATTACTCCACATAATTCAAAAAATAATATATTGACAACTGTAAACAAGATGTACTGAGTAAAAACATATTAAAGAACAGGTAAGTGATTAATCCATGGCTCCTTGCAAGAGAAGATATACATATTTCCCAACTGCCCCCAACTTCCCAAAGTCAGAGGAAAACAAATTACCATAAATGCCGGCGTATAAGACGACTTCCGCAAGCGCTGAAATCGGCGCCAAAGACGGGGGTCGTCTTATACGCCGAGTCGTCTTATACGCAGGAAATACTGGTAGTTTCCGGCATATAAGACGACGTTCTAGGAATGCGGCCCGGCTATAAAGACGGGGGTCGTCTTATACGCCGGGTCGCCTAATACGCCGGCATATACGGTAATTTTCAATTTAATTTTAGTATCACCTTCCCACCTTTAGTATCGCATGTTCAAACGTCTACTCAGTTTGTGCATCTTAAATAACCTAGGTAAATCATTTCAATGCCTATGCTAATTGTATACCTCTAATGCATCTTTCTCTTGCAGTATCCAACAGTGATTGCCATTGTTGATTTATTAGCATTAGTCCATTCCCTTATATTGGTGCAGCATCTGGGCTGTTTATCAAAATGACAGAATCTTTTGCTGCCTGGTTTAACTTTAGATTCCTAGATGATCAACTTATTAAAACCATTAGTATAACAAGTTGCCCTATTTGTAAATACTGTGCAAGTTACTGATAAATCAAGACGCTTCATGGCTTCAGAATTCATAAGATGGACTTTCCCTGAAACAAAAATAAGCAAACTGGTCTTACTTATCTGTACAGTTTTATCATGCTCAGTTCATGTAAATAGTGTTTATTTTCCCATACAGTTAGGATCTTGACCACGGAGATATGCAGAGGCACTATAATATGAATTGAATTTTTACATAGGTGTCATCGCTACAGTTTTTCTACAAAGCTTCAGTGTGCTGCACTTACAGATTCTGATTGCTGGCAGATTTTATACAATGTTACTATGTATTCTCTATTACGCAACTTTCAGTAGACAGTTCAAGCTCTTTAATTTCCTCTGAGTTTTATTAAATGTTATTTTCCAAAATCATATTTGTAGTCCCTTGGGTTTGGTGTTTTAGCCTTTAAAAAAAAAACCAAATCCTTGATTTCCATATACCATTGAACTTGGGAACACATGACAGCTTGATACTGTTGAGCTATCTAATCCTGGAACATTGAACTATGCTGTTTTGGGATAATCAGTTATATTTTGATGAGAAAGTTGTAAAATAAATATCAATGCAAATTTCCCCTTTCTTATAAATTAGGACTACTTTCACAAAATGGTGGAATTGACAATGGAAGCAAGGCTGGCCTACAAGGAGATGATTTCAGCTGTAGAGAAGGAATCAAGTGAAGAAGTAAAACAAAGTGACTGTGCACTTCAAACCCATCAGAAAGAGAATTGTGAATTAGATGCTTCTATAGTGCCCCTTCAAGAGTCTGAAGAGGATGTCCCAAATTACAGTGAGTTTTCGGGGTCTTTGATTAAAATACATACATTCTTTTCGGTTCATCTGTACATTTTCATTTTTAAGGTGAACAGTTTTTATGATAGCAGAGACACCACAATTCAGTGATTACAGAATGTTCTAGAGAACTTTAGAATATTCTCTTCTCTCACTACAACCATGCCATTCTTGGAATAATTCAAAATTTTCAAAAGTAAATTTCTTAAACCCAAAGCAGTTTTAGGAGTCTTAGACATTGAGTTCCAGGAGAATAGAATGTTCTGGAATATTCTTCAGTAGCAGATTTTGCACATTATTTTGTTGTAGCTGAATATGTCAATTAATTCTTCAAATCCTGATGATGTTAATCTTGGTTTGTTAATCCTGGCTGCAATTTGTGCATCAGTCTTTAGAATTATGTCAGTGATTGCCTTTAAACCAGTCTTGCCTTGAGACTTCTGTAGCAGAATACTAAAATAGTGTAATACCCAAAAATAAATACAGGTAATCCTTGAGGTATGACAGGCCATTTAACAAACGTTCAAAGTTACAATGCACACCTCAGAAGCTAAATATGAATCTGTTTCAGAGTTACAAATTCTGCAGCACCCCCACAGTCATTCACCCTTATGACCGACCACAGAGACGCTGCAGCACCCTCCCCTACCCATTTATCTTCCATTCTGCCCAGCCAGGTCCTCAGAGGCGCTGGGCCTGCTTTGCCAACATACGAGGTTCCATGCACTCCTCCCCATCCCCACTCCCCCGTCACTATTTGCATATCTTTTGACGAGCTCAGGAAGTCAGGGTAGAGAAGGCCGCTCCCTCGTTGGGCCATGTGGCACGATCAAGATGATGAAATCCAGTCACTTTTGCCTCCGTTGTAATCCTTGCCTCTCCAGCCAGCATAATCCACTAGAATTTCTTCTTCGCTCCGCCAGTGCTAGCTTTACGCTAGTGGTGCCAGCCAGCATTAATTGGTACGATTTCTTCTTAGTGCTGTCAGCTCTAGTCTTACGCTGGTGGCACTAAGAAGAAATGGCAGTGATTTACGCTGGCTGGAGAGGAAAGGCTTGCAAGGAATCAATATATGCACGGTTTTCTTAGCGCCACCAATGCTAGCTTTACGCTACTCTTAATGCTGGTAGAGCAGAGAATAAATCCCATCTCTTTTGCTCCCATGGCAACCCTTTCCTCCTTAGTCAGGATAAGTTATTACTGATTTACGCTAACTGGTAAATCAGGAAAGCTTGCAAAGAACCAAAATAGGTGCAATTTCTTCTTAGCGCCATCAGTGTAAAGCTAGCACTGGCAGAGCTAAGAAGAAATTGTAGTGATTTATGCTGGCTGGAGAGGCAAGGATTGGAATGGAGGCAAAAGTGACTAGATTTCACCTTCTTGCTTGTGCCACGTGGCTCAACGAGGGCGGCCTTCTCTACCCTGACTTCCTGAGCTCGTCAAAAGATAAGCGAATAGTGGCAGGGGAGTGGGGACGGGGAGGAGTGCATGGAACCCAGTATGTTGGCAAAGCAGGCCCAGGGTAAGTAAGCAAACAGTGACGGGCTGGGGTATGGAGGAGGCCCATAGGACGTTGGGGAAACCAAGGGGCAGGAGGCAGAGCATGGGATATCTTAGAGGGTGGGGGAGGCCTCCTGGGAGTGCCTGGGCCTGCACTAGGCCTCCCTCGGTTTCTCCCATCCCTGAATCACCCCATGCTCTACCTAATGACCTAATGAATGCATTGGGAAAAGCAGGGACAGGGAGGGCGTTAGTTATTTCATTTAATGTAGTCCTTGATGTCCGAAATGAATGGGCAGGCTCCATTACTGTCATAAGTCAAGGACTATCCGTACTACAGATGTCCAGAATGGATACTGCCTCTTTAGGAGAAGCCAAGCAAAACCACATTTACCTTGCTGATTTCATTTATGATAGAATGTGTATTTAAAGTTGTATACCCTTCTCAGAGCTGTAGAGCTACTATGTTATATTTGGTATCAGTTATAAGAAAAGATTGAATTAGTGCTCTAGATTCTTCCACCACCATGTACTCGTATTAATTCTTCATTTCTGATAGCAGTGATTCTTCTGAACACAAGCCATATTGTGCTGTACTGACCAAGAAATATGTTAATACAAGGGTCTCCGACCCCAAGTCCGCGATACTGGTCCACAGCCTGTTAAGAACTGGGCCTCGCAAGCAATGGGAAAGCAAGCGAAGCGAGCGCATGCATGGGCTCTAGGTTGCATGCAAAACGATTCCCCACCCACCCCCCAGGTCCATGAAAAAATTGTCTTTCACGAAATTGGTCCCTGATGCCAGCAAGGTTAGAACTGCTGTATTAATACATTCGATAGGACAGATTAGCAACTATTTTTTATAGGATGAGTTATGTGTTGCTCTTTACTTCCTTCAAGAATTCTTGTGCCTGAAGTATTGAACCATTCAGCTAATACATGAATGCTGGCAAAAAATGCTTTCTAGCTTTTATTCTCCATGTTCTAGTTATTGGTGCCATCAGCAGCTTTTGATGGTATTTGTATAGTGTTCCCTTCCACTTTTGCCAATTAAATCAAGTCTCTCTTGTGTCAAGTTCAACTTCTGATGATTCTATGGAAGCATTAACCTAGATTTCATGCAACAATATAGGAGTGGATTTTTTTGTTGTTGTTGTCGTCTTCCCATTCTAGCCCTGTTGATCCTTTTCAGATAAACCTATCCAACCCTGCTTTTTGAGATCATCCAAGGTTGTCTAAATTCTGCCCCCTGTTTGGGCACTTTATCTGATAAATTGTCTCAAATGGTGGATTAATTAGAATCTTATTGGGAACATGGATGGCTTACAGCCTGTCTTACGTAGCTTTTAAAGTGATAATTAAAAATATTATTTTAACCAAACTGTTATTTAGCATATAGTTGATCTATGTTCTTAATAAATGAAAACTCTCATTTCATAAAAAATAGTCCTATTATAATGGATTGTTATTTATCATTTCCTTCATTAGAAAACTATCATTTTATTTATGAACGGTATGTGTATTTTTGTGATCCTGGGTCAATACAAGAGCTGCAGGATTTGAGTAGGAATAGTTACTAGTTAGCTATTATGGGGAACCATTTTTCCAACTTTAGTCTTCTCAAAAGTATAGTAATACTTGCATTCCTACCTTTTATGTTATAGCCTTTGTAAGAACTAGAATCCATAATTGTTATTAATATGCCTTTGTCCAGAGGAAAATCTTTTTGTGTTTTGTTTGTTTGCACCTCTAGTTAAGATCTGGAAGCAAAAGCTTGAAGAGGAATATAATCCTTACATTCTGGAGCTGGAAAAACTGTCAACCGCTGACATGTTGCCCTTGGGTGTTGAGGAGCCTCAGTAAATCAAGACTACCTTCTTTGGCATTATTGACTTTTACTTTATGTGTGTGTGTGTGTGTGTGTGTGAATGTATATAGATTTGTAAATAGCGAATTATCTAAATTTAATTATCTGTAATATAGGCTATAAAACCCACAGTTGAATTTCTGAGATAATTTAATGCCAAAGAATTTAGAGCTGTTAAATAACTTCCCTTCGAGGGTAGATTCAATGAAAGTGCTTGGCTCATCCAAATGAAATACAGAATGAGTCAGGAAGTGAATCTGGTTTGTTTATATTTTCATATAGCAATACTGTAAAGAAATCACCTTTAGCTTAATGCCAGACTGTTAGTCTCTGCTCCATATAAGCACAGAGTCTCCAATCACTGTTCTCATAATTTCCTATAATTATATCACTTAGTCTGGATTGATACAAATGAACTGCATTATACTTGTAAGTGGTATCTTTTTCTCTGTATGATAGAATATACAACTGTGCATAAAATAGTAATATGAGATGAAAAAAGAGAAGGGAACACCACTGATTTTCTCCCAGACATTATTGTAAATATATGTAAAATATGCTAATATATAATGATTCTATTTGATATATGCAAATGAGCAAAACAGAAATGCAATACTGCCACCTGGTTTATTTTGTGATGGAGCAATTTGGTGTTGGTCATGGGTGTGTAATTAAAAGATGGTAGAAGCAAAGTGGAATTATTAAATACATAGAGAATAATCATTAATTTATTGGTACTGTATTTTCCTATTCTGTCCCATTATAGAACTCCTGAAGGGCTGTGTACAGCCTTGGAACCTACAAATATATTTATTGCAAATATCCTGAATGGGGTCCTCTCAACTGTCAACTAAACCTTCAACAGTTTATTAAATATTGATGGTAGATCACAGTCATGTGTGGCATGGTGGCCTAGTGGTGAAGATGCTCATCTCCCAATCCTAGGTAGCGGCAGATATTTCTCTCCTGGGGTGCAAAGAAAAAAATATCTGCTGTAAATTTCACGTGGTGTTAGGGAGAGCATCCAACCAGTAAAATGCTCAGCTCCATCACCCTGACTCTACCCCAGATTAAGGGATTACAGGTTTGTAAAAGGGAGCTTGGTGGTAGATTATAGTAAATAGATACAGAAAAGGTTCAGCGTAAGATAGCTTACTTTTTGTATACAAAGTAATTTCTTTGTTAATGGCTATCTTTAGAAAGATAGCAGGATTCTGTTGTGCAGAAAGAGGGCAGCAGTGCAAGACAAGAAGCAGGCAATGGGAAATGACCGAGTTTACTAAGCATTCTTTTCTACAGTTTTGTTCATATATCCAGCATAAAGGCACAGTTTAATCTAGCAGAGAGAGAAAATGTGAAGGGTCATTGTGTGAGCAGCTGTCGATTGCATGAGGGGAGCTTTGTGTGTGTGCATGTGCTCACCCGCCACTTGCGCAGCCCAGTTCCAAACAGGTCACACGGCAGCTGAGGACCCCTGTTCTAGGATGTAAAAAAAAAAAAAAATCCAGTCTTTTGTAGTACCTTTCCAGACCCCAAGTAAACTTAGAAGCCGGAGAGAGGTTAGCCTGATCTATCAGCATAATTTATTTTTCTCCAACGGAGCCAGAGGTTTGGTTTTAACCAGCAGAAACAATTGTGTGGGAGTTCGACACCCCTTGCTCAGAAGGTTTAGCCATTTTTATTTTTGCCAGAGGGATATGGAGGAGAATTCCATTTTGGACCATTTTATAATAAGCTTTCCAATATTTCTGTGTCTCGAGACAACTGAATAATTGTACAGCTGTAAAACAACTTTGTTTGCAGTATGCCTCTTATATTGCAAAAAATGTTTGCACTAAAATAACGTCAGGTATTGATGCTATTACTGGGCAGTTTCAGAGAGAAAATGCTGCTTTGCTTATGTACTTTTGTGTGCCTTTTAAAAAGTGTGGAAATTTTCACTGTAATTTTCATAACATTCCAGTCATACTTGCGATTTACTAACCTAGGTGGAATTTCCAAATGCTGTTTGCTCCTTTATTAGTGATTACATTCAATAAGTACTGATAAGGGAATTCGGTTAAAGTTTTTATATCTTTATCTGCATAAAATACAGATATATAGGTGCTTGGTTCAACAAAAACTGATATAATAAAAATCTTTCTTTATTATCAATGCAGGATATTGGGGCAAGTTGTCTTTTGCCAAGGAATGCACTTAACATTTTTTAAGTACAATGGGTTTTTTCATTGTTCATCAAATTTTGAAAACGTATCTTTCTTACTTAAAAAGTTGTCAGGATTTTAGTAATAGTTTTATGTTTTAATGTTCCTGAAACTGCACCACTAATTTTGAACAATTGTGGTTGGATGCAAAAAAAGAGAATTGGAGGTAATCTGTAAGCTACCTTGATCTATAATAAAATATCTTAAAGTCACTGCTGTGTGTTATAACACTGGAGATAGCATAAGATAGCTCGAACTTTGGTTTATAGTATTTTTCTAGTCAGCAACATTTTCTATATTTCCTAGCAAATGAAAGTTATCATTTCTGGCATTATTTAAGGTAGTTTTCTATTCTATAGAAAAAGTTGGGAATTTTCATTGGGTTCTCTGTATATTTGAAATATGTAGTTTTGAAGATGGAATGGGGGAACAGGAAAACCCTTCATCTAAGCATGGGTCCAGAATGGGGCTAGCATGTGTGCCTCAATGATTTGGTAAGATTACTGATAATTGGGAATATTGTAATTTACCTTGTGGCATCACTATGAATTTCTGCATATTCTGTAAGAATTCTGTGAATTCTGCTAACAGAAATGTAAAACCCAGGGAAGCAGATTTCATCTTGTTTGACTTGAGTGGATGACTTGATTTAATATGTAGTTGTATTCCACACATCCATAGAAGACTGATCACACAGTATGTTTTAGCAACTCTTCTACCAGGTTTCCAAGTGAAGTTTGTAAACTGAAGCAAAGTGTTTTGCATGTGAATTAGCGTAAGTTAGCTCTGAGCAAGATAATTGTGCAATTTTAGCTAATCGTACTCCATCTTCACCTTTAGGTATAGTGTAGTTGTGGCAGTTACGGAGTTTTCATTTACTTTATCAAAATATATATTTAACTGTTAAAAGAAAGCTGTTTTGTATTACTTGATTCAGCAGATCATTTTAGGCTTCAGAATAACGTGATTACAAAAACCGAAGTCATTGGTCATGGAATTTTTTAACTATCAGGTCATGCAGTAATGCACATCATGTAACATTTGTTTTCTTTTTCTCAGCATGGGGATATTTACCGAGTACTTGATAGCAGCACTTCAGTACACACTGTTCATATCAGCTGGTAAAGCAACAGGCTATTTTCACTGCTGCCTTCTGCTCTAGAATGATTGATGCACAGGTCATACTGATCTAGTTCGATGTCAGAGTATCTTTTTCAAGAACACTTTTAGCATCTCACACTGCCATTTTTGTTGCAACTGTCCTAAATAAATATGAACCAGAAGAAGCCTTTTAATTATGAGTCAATATATAGTAATAAATTTAATAGTTTGTCCCTGAGCTTGCTGATCATAAATCTTACTTTCTACATGGAATTAAGAGTTTGCATGTTCACCTCAAATTCTCAGTTTCAGTTCAGTCTTTATTGGAATCACGGACCACTACAGCAACTTCTCAATAAACTGGTAAGTATGCAATTCATAAAAGTGCACTTCGAGCTACTACAGTCATATTAGATTGCTGCGGGTCCTTTGAATTGGCTCTGTGAGCATTCTGGAATAAGGATTTTATGATGAAAGTGAGCTAACAATATAGGGTTTCTTCAGTGCATTTGCTGCTTTTGGCAATATAAATACAGTGGAGTGCCTAAGGGTGAATCATGAAAGTACAAGAAAGATGATCTGGATATAGAAAAACATCCGAACTATCTCTAGCAATTGCCAATGTGGCAACTGAGAAAAGTTACAGAATTGTTTGCCAGGTTTCAAACTAACATGAATTTAGAAGTGGTAACTGACCAGCCCAAGACTTCCCAAATAAGATTGTACTTTGTGACTTGCAGTGTATCTGTTCTGTGGCGAAAATGCTAACAATGCTGCACTAAGACTGTTCTGACCATTTCTTCTAGGCACCCTGCAAAAATGAAATGCCCTTCCTTCATCTAAACAAAATGCAAATCCACCTGCGCTGTATGTAACACCTACCAATATATTTTTCCAATTTTCCAACAGTTTCTCATGATCACCAATAACACTTCTCCAGCTAGCAAACTCTCTTGACCAGGTGTCTTGATAGTTGCTACCTAAAAATAGTAAGCAGTGGAGGGAGGGATTTGGGTTAGGTGCTCATTAAACATTCAAATATTTATATTTTTAAAAATTATATAATCTGTTCCCTTATAAAGATCTAGGGCAAAGCATATGATGCTATGAAAATATTTAACATTTACATAGCAGTTCAAATAATCGACTAGCAAGGATGTTGCTTATTTTGTAAGCTTTATTTAGATAAAAAGGGAGTTATCTAAAAGCAACTTAGTATATTGTGCAATAGCATTGATAGAAAAATATTTCTAGGTAGACCCCAGGCACCCACACATGCTCATTTCAGCATTTTTGTTTGTGTTAAATTATCGGGAGGCTGCCAAGTTTTCTTCTGCTCAGCAACAATGTAGCTGCATCCTTTAACCACAACTGCTAATTTTGCATAGATGCCAATTTGCTCGTGTTGGAACAAGTCAGCATTCTTGACTTCATTAATCTGTGTATTCCCACCAGGTCCCCTTTAAGTTACCTGAAATGAGCAGCCAAGCTAGCCCATTAGGTTTGCTCAGCTCATGACTTTCTGCTTCAGGGCTCTTTGTGAGTAGCATTGGTTTTAGAGCTCTGTGTGACATCTTGAAATCTGAAAAAAAAAAGTCACTGCCCAACAGAGACCCATTACCTTCTACAGTGATAGAAGAGGTAGAAGCTTTGTTCCCAGATTTTGAGATCAGCAGGCAAGTGTATTCTGAATTGTGTGCTATGGCGTCTTTCACCCAGCTTAAGAGATGCACCCGCCCATTGGACAGCACCTGGGCTTGCTCTTTCACACAGTTTGCCATTTTTTGCCCATTTTTTTTCCATACAAAATGTGCATCTCTGGACCCTGTGGAAAAGTGGTCAGTCATACAACTAGGACACGTGCAAATTCAAATATATTGCAAAGTTTCCCTGGAACAGGTGGATACTCTATATCAGTGATGGCGAACCTTTAAGAGACCGAGTGCCCAAACCGCAACCCAAAACCCACTTATGCATTGTCGGGTGCCGGGTGGGTGTGGCCCATTGGGTGGGCGTGGCTGCGGTGGTAAAAGTTCAATCAATCCCAACTTTGCAAGATCTTTTTTTTCCCCGCAAGAAGTTGAAATTGACTGATTGATTGAACTTTTTTTTTTTTTTGCACATGGTGGCAGAGGCCTAAAGCGAAAAGGTTTTATAAAACCCAGCTGAAGGCCTAGGACTGGGGCGACGGCACGAGTGCCCACAGAGAGGGCTCTGAGTGCCGCCTCTGGCACCTGTGCCATGGGTTCGCCACCACTGCTCTATATTTTTGCATCTTCTAGAAATCCTGAGATCTTCCAACCAAAGTCTAGTGAAAAATCGGTAAAAGAAACACTATTTCCCAGATATTTTGGTGATTAACTGAACAGTCAATGGAAATGCCCTGACTGCCCTTCACCCACCTGCACGATGTCATAATCCCATTGGCATGCCTTCTGCACTCATTACTTCTAGATTTCTTAAAAATAGCTTTGAAAGGTTAGGGTTAGGTTCAAGCTTATTTCATTAGCTGAACTATAACTGGAAAGTATTTTTTCCCTCTGGAAACCAGTTGCTCCATAAATTGATAGGAGCCACCATCCAAAAGCCATAATGCAGTGGTGCTTCCCCTAACACTCAACAGCTTTCCACTGTTATCATCTGAAGACTTCAGTAAGCATTCTTTCTCCTGATCATTTCTTGAGCCCTTCAATTGAGATAATGTAATAGATGTATATCATACCTTTAATCCAAGAGCTCAATATGGAATACTGTACAAGCAAGCCCACTTTCAATCTAGCCTTTCTCCAAAGGTGCAAGGAGAAAGACATATTGAAGATGTAGTACAGTGGTGGTGAACTTATGGCACGCGTGCCAGAGGTGGCACTCGGAGCCCTCTCTGTGGGCACACGTGCCGTCACCCCAGCCCTGCTTCCCCCTGTGCCCCCCTCCTCACTAGCAGACTCCCTGGAGAATTGCCCCCAGGTGCGGCCCACTCAGAGCAGTGCAGCCAAGGACATAGCCGGGCAGCAGGGACACGACTCTGCCCTCACACCCCATAACATGCAGATGATGCTGCGGAGTGTGGGCGGAGAGTGTGGCTGCCATGGTGCTGCAGGGCTGCCTGGGTGATCATCTACAGGCCATGGAGGTGGTGCATGTCCCTGCAGGTGGGTGGGGCAGGGGGTGGGTGGGGGCGGAGCAGGCAGGGTGGAGGCGGAGCCAGGGGGCGGTTTTGGGGCACTCGGTCTCTAAAAGGTTTGCCATCACTGATGTAGTAGAACAAGCACAAAACCCAAAGCTAGAAATGACAGCTCAGATCCTCACAACTCCTCCGAAAAGTGCTACCAAATCATCCTTTTAGTATGTTTAATTTTATTGTCCTGAATTAGTTTGTTTTGTCTTGAGCCCACATCTGTTTTGGTAAATAAAATCCCTGATATACTATTTTTAAAAAAATCAGGCACTGAAATAATGCTCTAAGCGGAACCTTGAATATATATATAGGCAAAATAGGAACACACTAATCATGGAATCAGGTTGAAATCATTTCCCATTTTCTAGTATTTTGGGAGAGATTTTCACCTAAGCTTTGAGAATTGAAGAAAGAAATTCATGTTGAATGCAAACCATTGCATTGCGATTCCAATGGCACCGCAATCTCAGGTTATTTTCACACATTGTCAGTGCTCTTGGGAGCCATTGAAAAACAATTCATTCCTATAACTCCTTTCTCAAGCAAGCTATCCCAAAGAAACATCTTCTGATCCAGCCCGCAGATAACTTCTGCAGCCGACGCCCTTCTGGTAGCTTCCCAAACAGCATCTTCGGCTGTGACTGAAGAAGGGCTAATCAGGCAGCTTTTCTCATTTTCCCATGAAGGTTTCAGAGTCTCCAAAACAGGATTTTCTCCTCTTTCAGCACAAACCAATTTCCATTTTCTCAGTAATAGCAATTTTCTTTTTCTTTTGACTTTAGATGAAGATCTAATAAAGACTGTTTTTTGATTCCATAAATACATCCCTCACAACAATGATTATAAAAAGAGTGAGCACAATTAATACCCAAAAATACTTCACACTGACACGTAACCATTATCTCTTCTGCAACTTAAGGTATTCCAGATATATTA